TTATAAAAGTTTGCTCCGACCACTAAGTTGACGGACTTTTGGATTTTTTAGGGTGGGAAAACCGAAACAGGTCAACTATTGAGAAGACATATCGGAATATGAAATTTATTTAATTAATAAATGAATAATAAAATAGAATGGTAATACTGTGATTGAAGTAACGATGAGGAGTGTAACTTGAAGACTGACCGCGTCTGATTCATGTTCAAGTTACTATCTTACTCCACTGGGTTTCCCCCTTCTCTTTTTACCTTTTCAGTATTATATCTTTATATGTGATCGTAAGTACCTTGTTTGGTGTAATAAAGTCATGTTTTGTTGATAATTTGTTTTATTACTCTTGTTTACTCAATGATGGTTTATTTTTTCTTAGATTCATTTGTAAAAAATTCAATTTTTTTTTTATTTAGAATGTAAAATTGATATTTCTTCTTTAATAAAATTTTTTTATCAACAATTCAAATGTTATAATTAAAGTAATATTATATCAAGTACTTAATCACTTAATTTTTGAAATTAATTATCAAATTTGATCTTTTCTTTTTTTTTTTCTTGTTATTTAGGATGCAAAATCAATATTTCTTCTTTAAAAAAATTTTTTATCAATAATTTAAATGTTGTAATTAAAGAAATATTAGATAAAGTACTTAAATATTTAATTTTTTAAATTAATTATCAAATTTGACATTTTTTTTTATTTAGGATGTAAAATTAATATTTCTTCTTTAAAAAAATTTTTTATATACAATTTAAAGGTTATAATTGAAGTAATATTGAATTATTTTGATTTTAAAATTAATAATCAAATTTAGCTCTATTTTTTTTTTTTCATGAAGATATAAAAACATTTCTTCTTTAAAAAAATTTTTTTTCGACGATTTAATTAATACTAGATCAAGTACTTTATTATTAAATTTTAAAAACTAATTTATTACTAAATTTGGCTGTTTTTTTTTATTTTATGCGTATTTTTAGATTTCATTGAGAAATAACTGAGATTTTTTAATTTAATAATATCTACAGTAAAAAGTGAATTTTATTCAATAAAAAATTACAGTATAGCTCAATGTTTTCACTTATTAATTTTTATTCAAAAAGCGGTATTTGATAAATAAAAAAAAAATACTAAAATAAAAAACTTAAAAACAATTATTTCATTTAAATAAACTTTTACTTAAAAATAAATTTACGGTCAAGAAATTTCAATATAGAAACCGGTGGTAATAAATTAAAATTTTAAAAATATCCCGTTATTTAATCATTACCCGGGAAAAAATGATCAGATCTATTTTTTCTTAAACATAATGTAGCTACAAATAATTTTTCTTCTCTTTTTAATTGTCTTGAAAATTAAAAAAAAATTTTCATCAATTTAATTCTTCATTAAAGCTATATCAGAAATTTAATTTGATTTCTTCTGAACACTAATAAAAAAAAATTAAAATATAATTCACAACATTTATTGCAAATTCTAAACTAGCCTATTACAAACATAAAAAAAAATAATAAAAAAAAAACCATTAGTTCACTCCATAAACATTTTTTATTCAACTAAAATCAATGAATTATTGTCACATAACAATTAAAAAAATTCATCGCTGGATACATAACAAAGTTTGCGTATAAGAAAAGAAATAATAATCTTAAGAGAAAAAAAAAACAAATTATCCGTAAACTTAAAATGTAAAAATGAAATATTAATAATATAATAATATTAATAATAATAATAATAATAATAATAATAATAATAATTAAATTTTTATAATCTACTATTTTTATTGAACTCAAACATTTCTCTTTCCTTATTAATTAATTTTATAACTCATTCATACATTATATGGCACCTGTACATATATATCTGTCAACTATTCAAGCTCATCCCAAATAAGTTTTAAATCATACTCTTAATTACTATTAATTACACACTAGTTGAAAAATGTAACTTCTGTAAATTTAAATCTAATATCTTATTATTAATTAATTGAGCGCAGTTCCGTGACACAATTCGTCGTATTATTTTATTTTTCCTAAAGACTATTATTAATTGCGTAAATTCGCGATATTAATAATAAAACTGCATTGTTCAATGCATTGCAATTTAACGTGAGCGTAATTATAATTTTAGCCACGATAAAATATAATGCTTTAGAGTTTAGATAAATATTTTTTTTTTTTTGTTAAAGTTTTATTTAAAAAAAAAAATTACGTATAAAAGGCATCGCCAAACTGTAACGACTTATTTCTATTTATTATTATTATTATTATTTTAGTCAGAGCATTTTGGTAAATAGAAAATTAAGACGACTAAAGGCACCGCGCATTAACTTAATTTTTTAATTATTTATATACTTATTACTAATTAATTATTAATAATTAAAGTATAAACGATTGAACGAAATTGGAAGCTCTAAATCATCTAATAATTTTTTCTCTTTTATCATTAGACTAAAAAATTCTAATACAAATCCCACTGCCCCTTCAATAGTCCGTCACTTACTTTAATATCACTTTACATTTTAACGAGAAAAAAAAATTTTTTTTTTAAATGTTTATAAATTAAAAAAATTAATAACTTATAAAATATTTTTTACGTATTAAAAATCATTACTATTATTATTATTATTATTATAATAATTAATTATTTATAAATGACAATTAAGTTTTAAGACACTTCGGACTTGTGGCAGTGAGTCTGGTTGTCTGCTATCGTGGAATTAATATAAATCCATAATTATAGCAACCTTTTTCATACTTTGTACAAATATTTATCATACTATTGATCCTTTCTTTTCATACATTACATTCTTATATTTATCATACCAATAATTAACAATATTTTTTTTTTAATTTAAACTTGCCCAATATTAACAACAGTAACGGAAAAAAAATTTTTTTTGTATCAATAATCCGTAATGTAAAACAATCATCGTTATAAAAAAGTAGTTCGCTTGCTATTTAATAAATGTGAAGATCTATTTTATAATTGCTTGTAAGCTTATTTGTTTTATAAAGTCTTTGGTGTTTGTACCAATTTTTCCCATGATATTCAGCAGTGTTAGTTTTATAAATTATTTATTTATTTTTTTTAGGCTCAAAATACTTAAATAAAAAAATTTTAATATTTTTAACCAATTTATATGCTATATTTTATAATTTTTTTTGTCCTTAATATTAAATTACACTATAATATTAATAATTAAGGAGGAACACCACAGTGACGGAAGAAAAAAAAAGTGAATTTTTTTTTTATTTTATTAAGGGTACATTAAAGATTATTACCCTAAATTTTTATCAAAAAATATTTATTGAAGTTATTATTAATCTCTAAGAGCACTAGAAAAAATTTCCACCTCCATGGTCACAATGATAACTCAAAAACGAATTTGAAAATAAAAACCTAAATTGCTTTTTAAATATTAAGGATGTAATTATCATTGCATGTAAGGAATTTTAAAAATTTTGATTTTAAAGATTTTTTGAGCTAGATTACAAAAAAAAATAAAAGATTGAGAAAATTTTCAATCAGTCGGAAATTTTTTGAAAATTAAAATTTTAAAAATTCTGTACGTGCAACGACAACTATATCCTTACAAATTAAAAATCAATTTAGATTTTTATTTTCCAAAAATACGTTTTTGAGTTATTTATGCGACCAAGGAGTGGGAAATTTTTTCTAGTGTTCTACGAGATTGTTAATAACTCTGTAATAATTAAAAATTTTTCAATAAAAATTTAGGGTAATAATCGTCAATATACCCTTAATAAAATAAAAAAAATACTATCCTCAAATTCCTTAATTTTTCCTGTCAAAAAAAATTCACCTTTTTTTTCAATCCTAACAATGCTGTTTCCCCTTAATTTTAACAATAAAAAAAGCGAAATAATTATACTTAAACTATCTTAATGGTACATTTAAGAAAAACCCTACTCTACTTAAATAATAATTATGAATATGATAATAATAACAATAAATTGATAATCGTAATGGAAGAAAAATATAAAATCAGGGTAAGGTACAAGGAAGTTTTCTATAAGTTGAGCATACTTTCGAATTTGATTGCGAGTTTTAAAAATTACTTACGACTCAAAAAAAAAAAAAAAAAATAAAAATAATAAATTGAACACTCTTGAACATTACTCTTAAGCAATGATATAAATAAACGTATCGAATTATAATTTAATATGTTAAATATTAATATAGTAACAAAAATGCTTGAGCCATAAATAATTATTTAAACTTCTCGCTGGATACTAATATAAACATCACAAAACTATAAATAATAAAAAAAAATTACTGTAACAACTAATTACTTAAATACGGCATTTTTTTTTTATAAGAACAATTAAAAAAAAAATACTAACAAAATAACGCTAAAAAATATTCTATCCTATTTTTAACTTATGCTTGTAATATTTATTATTATAATTATAATTATAATCAATTGTTCATATAATTGTAATGATAAGAGCAGTGTATTACATTATACTATTTAAATTTACACACGTGCAAAGACATTTTTTTTTTGCTATATATATATTTATATCTTTGCTGACTTATTGATATACCTTCAATTTATAAGTATATATATATATATATATATATCAATGTATAATGTCAATTTTAAGATAATATAATATAATAATATTGTATTGTATTAATTTAAAAACATTTAGGCATGTTAACGAGGACCGTGACTAAGTTACAATAATCTAATTGACGTACAAAAGGCACACGTATCGTTAATTCGTGACTGATTATTTTTTTTTCTTCAGATTATTGTTCTCTATCGTCTCAAATCTACAGTAGCATTTTTTATGGTCATTTTTCATAATAATAATAATAATAATAATAATAATGAGAATATATAATTGATAAATATTTAATTAATCATACCGAAAGAGAACAATTGTAAGAACAATTGTCAATAGGTTTGAATCGGTAAAAAAAAATATTTTTACTTAATAAAAAAATGAAGTTAAAAATAATCTTCGAAATGAATTTACTGAGCAGAGTTAACTTGATTTTCCCACTTATCAAGAGCAATAGCTGTGTTCACCAGCAGTACTAAGCTCGATGTCGGGATGTCTTTTGCAAATGGACCCTTGTTTTCTTTGTTAGGGACCCATCCTGCCACACTTTGGCGGATCAATTCGTCATTCAACTCGGTGATTGAGTAATATTTCTTATTACTGGAACTGCTTCCACAGGGCTCTCCTTGCCGTTCTGAGGATAAGTGCGCTCGTGGTGCGCTCCAGTATCCTGGTTTGTTGTCTTGGCATTCCTCTCTGAAAAATTTATAAATGTTTAGTATGAAAAATTTTTATGGTCGGATCATTAATTACAAAATTATGGCTTAATGATTTTTTTGACACGGCATATAGTTTGGGTACTTTGTAAATTAATTTTTGGAATAATAGAGCTATCACTGGGTCAATTGCAAAAAATTTAATGAACAAATTATTAAAAATTTGACATAAAAGATACTAAATTAAACTACAAAAATTCTTTTAAAAATAACTAGCGACCTTGCAGTCACTATGTGACTTCCGGAACTTGTGAACTATAAATGAATAAAATTTTGCTTTATTAAATAATGACTTTTGTTAAATTGGACTGTACTTTCTAAACTATCGACGTTTTTAAAGATATAAACTCATTCCGATGTTACACTCATCAAGAGCTTTCATTCAAGTACCGACATGCATTTTTGATATATTTTTCATATATACATATATATATAAATATATCAAATATATGAAAAATTGATGTGGGTATTCAAATGAAAGATCTTGATGAATGTAGCATCGGAGTGAGCTTGTATTTTAAAAAAATGTCAACAATTCACAAGATATTTGTTCAAATGCCCTGTACTGTCTTACCTATTGACATTTTTAAAGATATAAGCTCATCCTGATGTTACACTCATTAAGAGCTTTCATTTAAGTACCCACATGTATTTCTGATATATTTTTCATATATACATGTATATAATATATATAAATATATAAAATATATGAAAAATTGATGTGGGTACTCAAATGAAAGCTCTTGATGAGTGTAACATCAGGATGAGCTTATATCTTTAAAAATGTCAATAGTTTCCAAGATACAAGGTCATTTCTCTATTATGTATCAAAAGATCGTGAATTTTTGAATACAGCCTAAATAATCATCATAAATTGACTATCGGTGAGAATGATATGAAACCTTGAAAAGGCGATTTGATATTCTATCTAATTAAATAGAGAGTAATTAAAAAAAAATTTTATTTTTTTAGGTATTTTTTTTTCAGATATCTCGAAAATTCATATTTAATTTGACGCTAGAAAAGCAAACTTCCTCAAATTTAATGTAACCTTGAGATAAAATCAGGAAACTGATAGATAGTTTTATGATACAATAAAAAAAAAAAATTTATATTTAAATCTATTTTTAGAAAGACCTAAAAAAATGAAAATTTTCTTTAAAGTACTCTAACGATTAATATTTACAGGTATATATTAGCTACCGATATTGCGAAATCAGTATTGGGTAATTGAATAGAATAAAAAAAATAGAATGATAAAAAAAACAATATTTGAAGTCAAACAAAAGATAGTTGGCGCCCGAAATATTAAAAAAAAAAAAATCACTCTTATCGTAACTATTACGCAATTGGTTAAAAAATTCTTTCTGTTATCTAAGATATAATATTAAGTAATTGTAATTCAAAGTAGGGTTTAAGTATTAATAGAATCGGATATTATTAATAACAATAAAGATAATGATTATTAAAAATTAATAAATAAAAAAAAAAATGTCCAAGCTTTCAGAAAGAGTTGAGAATAAATCTTACCCTCGTCGTGCAGGGTGATTTATTGCCTCGTCGTAATTTAATTCATTTGACGGCTCAACTTTTGTCTCTGAATATGGATATACGATAACACTTGGCCATTGTGATGATGGACGTTCTTCTTCACTATGAGAACTACTTTCATAATCATTTGGACTGTCTTCCTCACTTCTAAAATATAAAAATATATTTATACGTTTTTTTGTATAATTCTATTTTTTTATTCTTTCATTAAAGTTACTTATTTACTTATCGTTAATTATAATATCTGATTATAAATTATCAATAAAATTTGTATTGACAGCTGTCGATCTATAGCAATTAATTATTTAAATTCAAACTAATTAGAAATAGTTTGTTAGTTTGCATAATTGAGATTACTATCAGTCAGTTATCAGTCAGATAACTGTGATCAAAATAATTATTTAAATTTTATTAATAAAGCAAATGAGAGCACGTATAAATATATATATTTTTTTTTATATTAATAAAGAGTTTTTTAAAAGAAGAAGTGAAATTATATTAAATGTAGTTATTTTTTTTGGGGACTCGGGAGTTGAGTATTATTATATATATTGAAAAAGCTCACCTGTACATAACGTGATCCTCATAATCACGGCTGTGTCTACGTGCTGTAGAGGGACTGTTAGACATTGTTGTATCCCAGCCGCGACTCGCATTGGGACTTAAACCAGCCGCCTGCTGGTGATGATGATTTCCACCTGGCATCTTTTTGCCGCGACGTGAAATTGTGTATTGCAGAGGATCCTGACCCTCACGTCTTATTATTTCCGGAAGAATACGACGCCTTGCGTTTATAAACCAGTTACACACCTGTATATAATAATAATTATTATTATTCAACATATTATTATAATAATTATTGTTATTATAAATATTTTAATAAATAATTAATAATAAATAGAATTGTGGACTACAAATAAAAAAAATTTTGTTTTATTAAATAATGAATCTTGTTAAATTGCACTGTACTTTTTTAAATATTGAAGTTTTTAAAGATATAAGCTCATCCCGATGATACACTAATCAAGAGCTTTCATTTGAGTACCCACATGCATTTTTATATATTTTTCATATATATATATAAATATATAAAATATATGAAATAATTGGTGTGGGTATTCAAATGAAAGGTCTCGATGAGTGTAACATCGCAATGAGCTTATATCTTTAAAAATGTCAATAGTTTACAAGATAAAAGGTAATTTCTCAATTATTGACATTTTTTTTTTAAAGATATAAGCTCATTCCGATGTAGGCGACTGCTTGGCCGAGCGGTTTAAGTCTTAGACTGCCGCACAGCAGTCGCTCAGGCGTGGGTTCGAGCCCTGGCAATTGCAATTTTTCTTCTTCTTCTTCTGCGATTTCCGGGGCTTGCTCCCTTGCCGACTGTACCTTGAACAGGTTTCTGTGGTTTTTCCTCGGTCATTGTGCCCCTAAAATAAGCGGGGCACAGGCAAATGCGGGTACAGACTGTAAGCCGGCCACAGCCGCAAAAACGGAGGGTCCTGTTACAGGACTATATAGAAGGAATAGCTACAAGAGGAAATAGCTACAAGAGTAGCTTGGAGGAGGCCTGGTACTGCGAAGTAATGCTAACGCGGTCCCGCAGTATCAGGTACAAGAGAGGGGAGGGTTTTAGTGAGTAAGAATCTCACACTACCGGCAACCAACATCTCCAACATCTAGCCGGTGTCTTATGAAGATTTCCCTCCTCTCGCCCAAAAAAAAAAAAGTACCCACATGCATTTTTATATATTTTTCATATATTTATATATATAAATATATAAAATATATGAAAAAATTGATGTGGGTATTCAAATAAAAGGTCTCGATGAGTGTAACATCGGAATGAGCTTATATCTTTAAAAATGTCAATATTTTGCAAGATAAAAGATCATTTCTTAACTATGTGTCTAAAAATAAAACATTTGCGAATGCAGCCTAAATTAATTATAATTAATTGACTATCTTTAAATTTAATTGAAAATTTCATTGGAAAAAGAAAAAATAACGCAAAATAAAAAGATAATTATTATCATTATTATATGTCGATCAAATTGATTTTTTTCATAAAAAAAAAAACTTTTATTGTCCTTATAGAATTTTTTAATAAATCATCACTAAATATTTTACCATTTGCTAAGCTCAATGACTTCTTCCCAACTAAAACTTGATTTTATTTATTAAAAAATAAATTTGATTGCCATAAAAAATAAAACCCCTGGATATATACGCTAACAAGCATAAATAAAAAAATTTAAAAAAATATATAATTAGTAACATACCTGAAGATTAGTCAATTTAGCTTCTTGGCTGAGGTATGTTTTTTCATTGTCACTCGGATAGGCGTTGTAACGATGCTCATACAGCCATCGCTTCAAAATTTTAACAGATTGTTTAGGTAAGTTGCCCCGACGTTTACGCACTCCGTGCGCGACGGAGTGAAGCAATATTCTTTGTTTTCGACCACGGAGTGATGAACTTTCGTGATCTATGTCCGATCCACTTTGGTCGTCATCAGTGCTGCCCGAGGATTGGAATCGACCTCTCGCTGTAACATTAACAATAAATATACATTTATTAGTTGCATGTAGTTTATAAATTACTAATTACATAAATATAAATAAATAATAGATACAGTTGACTTAAGCATTAAGTAATTAATCATTATATGTTTTATTTTTTTTTATTGATTGAGTGATTGCAAATCGTTTTGTTTGTTAAGCAATAGCATGCCAATCGCATTTTATATCAGGTCAATAGTACCAGCGGATCTATAGTTCAAAGCTCTTTATTATAATTGCATCATTTTGTATAAATAATTAATAATAACAAAAATAAAAATAATAATAATAATTTAGGTTGAAAATTTATTATTATTATTATTATTTTCTGGTCATCAATAATAATAATATTAACTAGCAACTTGGCAGTCACTATGTGACTGCCGTGACATATAAAATTAAAATTTTGCTTTATTCAATAATGACTTTTTTTAAATTGTACTGTACTTTCTTAAATATTGACATTTTTAAAGATATAAGCTCATTCCGATGTTACACTCATCAAGAGCTTTCATTTGAGTACTCACATCAATTTTTGATATATATTCCATATATACATATATATAATATATATAAATATATGAAAAATTGATGTGGGTACTCAAATGAAAGGTCTTGATGAGTGTAACATCAGAATGAGCTTATATCTTTACAAATGTCAATATTTCACAAGATAAAAGGTCATTTTTTAATAATGCTAAATTGCACACTGTACTTTCTTAAATATTGATGTTTTTGAAGATATAAGCTCATTTTGACGATACACTCATCAAGAGCTTTCATTTGAGTACTCACATCAATTTTTGATATATATTTCATATATACATCTATATAATATATATAAATATATGAAATATATGAAAAATTGATGTGGGAGGGTAACATCAGAATGAGCTTATGTTTTAAAAAATGACAATATTTCACAAGATACAAGGTCATTTCTTAATTTTGTATCTAGAGATAGAGCATTTTCGAATGCAGCCTGAATACTTATCATAATAAATTGACTTTCGGTGAGAATGAAATGAAACCTTGAAAAGACACAAATTCAAGTCAAGACCTTTGCAATGACAATAAAAATAACCGATTATTATTATTATTATTATTATTTTGTCTAATTTATTGAGAAGACTAAAAATAAATTAATCTAAAAAAAAACTGACGTAATTTTTTTATTTTAGAATGTTTATAAAAACAATGATATTAGAATATTTTAATATTGAGATTTAAAGATTTTATAAATAAGATAGGCTAAAATTATAATTATTAAAAACCTCATGAATTATAATTATTCGTTTTTTACTCCACAATTACAGATCAATTATTTATTGAAATCCAAATATTAGTTCAAATTCACGAAATAAAATTAACAGATAATTAAAAGATAACTTGTGAAGTTATTCTTCAAATAAAGTAAAACCTAAGCCATCATTTTCTAATTTTTCACACAAATTTATCAAACAAAATAGTTAAAATATTTGAAGTGGATAAAAAAAAAAAATAATAATTGCCTTATTTCTTCCCAGAAACTTAAAAAGAAAAAAAACTATTTGTTTTACAACATGTCACAAAGAATTATGATTTATATATGACGTGCTATATATGCAATATTTAAGAATTTGAAAGAAAAACTGGAGTAGTGTGTATAGCTAGAGGGAATTTCGGTTAAAGACTAACATAAAGAGACGGTAATTTGAATATGAATCACCGAAGAGCTGTAAAAAATGAGCATTAGTTTAATACTTATATTCCGTGCGATAATGACAGAATTAACTAATGTCAGTAATAAAAATTCTTAGACTATTGGTTCAGCTAAACAAATACGTGAGAAAATATTGCCTGAGGTTAACTATTAAATAAAAATTAATAGTTTTTCAAATTTAACGTTTTGTAAAGGTGTATAAATAATTTCCTAATGTATTTTATTATATAAATATATACATATATAGCCAGATATATTACTACATATCCATATTTTAGTGTCAAAGTTAAGTACTATACCTTAAGTACTCTCTCATTACGACATGGTTAAATTTAGATGCCGAGGAAAAAAAATTTCTGATAAAATATACATTTATATTTTTGAAACGCGATACCTAGATAAAATTAAGTGTAAGTTTTTCCGGGAAGAGAATAAATGGCATATATATTAAATTAAAACTTTGACAATGAAAATTTAAATATAAATTTTTCGGCGTTTACACACAGATGAATAGAATTAATAATGAAGGCATGAATAAATTACCGTTTACCTGCTTCATCAAAAATTAACTCAACCATTCTCATTTATTGCTTTACCTTTTTGTCTATTTCTGTCTATCTATCGATCTATTTTTTTTTTTTTTTTTTTTATACATAGTAATAGATAGTATAGTATATCTATGTAGTATCTGGACGCGATGTATTAGATATTTTTCTATTTCTATTCATTTTATAGTGGAGCAACTAAATAGAGCCCGTTCTACGCCCTTGTGTATCTTTTATTCCTTTCTATTCTCTGTACCCGAAATTCTTTATTATGTCTAAAAATAAAATAAAACTACCATAGGGGAATTTTTTAGATCTTCAGGACTCTAAGGACTACTCGGAATATCCGTACAAATACTTTCTCTTGATCTACTTTTTAAATTTAATTCACTCTACTTTTTCTTAAATTAATATCTTTTATATTGTAATTGCAGATTGGTATTATTTTTAATTATTATAAAATAAGTGAAGTTATAATTTGTGATTGGATAGTTTAAATTAATTTTCCCAAGAGTTTCTTTGTCAAAAATCTATTAATTCCAGATGTTTCAGAGATTTCTATTTAATAAATTGTGTTAAAAGTGTCAGATGTCTGTTAAGTTAATTCCAGTATCATTAAATTTCTTATCTGTCTCTATAGTTTTTACAGTTTTTGATCCATACCGCATTTGTACGGAAATCATAAATTTTCAAGGGTTTCTTTTTTAAAGTGTAATTTCAAGATTTGAAAATTTATTTATTTTATATATTTTTTGTACTAAATCCAACAGATTTAATAAAAAAAAAAAATTCTCACAAAAAATGACCTTGTATCTTGAGAACTATTGACATTTTTAAGGATATAAGCTCATCACGATGTTACACTCATCGAGACCTTTCATCTGAGTACCCAAATCAATTTTTCATATATTTTATATATTTATATACTTCACAAATACCATATATATAAAATATGTAAAAAATGTCATGTGGGTACTCGAATGAAAGGTCTCGATGAGTGTAACTTCAGGATGAGTTCATATCTTCAAAAATGTCAATAATTAAGAACTGACCTTGTATTTTGTCAACTACTGACATTTGTTAAGATATAACCTCATCCTGATATTACGCTCATCGAGACCTTTCATTTGAATACCCACATCAATTTTTCATATATTTATATATATTGCATATATGTATATATGAAAAATATATCAAAAATACATGTGGGTACTCAAATGAAAGCTCTTGACGAGTGTAACATCGGAATGAGCTTATATCTTTAAAAACGTCAATATTTAAGAAAGTACAGTGCAATTTAACAAAAGTCATTACTTAATAAAGCAAAATTTCATTTATTTACAGTTCACAGGTCACAGCAGTCACATAGTGACTGTAAGATTGCTAGTTATAATTAAAATAATTATTAAATGTGAATAAATAAAAAAAAAAGTAAATAAATGAAATTTGTAGTGACTTTAATTGCAACAGATGTAACGGCACGTGTACCGGATATTAAAACCTGATTTATTTATTTACAAATTTATCCATTTAATTAAAAAAAAAAAAAAAAAAAAAAAAAAAAAAAAAAAAAAAAAAAAAAAA